TCTAAAAATGCTTTAATTAACATTTTGGTATTTTAGAGAATTCTAGTTATTTGGAAAGTGAATATTTTTACCACACCTGAGCTTCCTGAACTTCTGAACTTCAGCTAAATAAGATGACAAAGTCGCCATCAGTTTCTATCACACAAAGTACAGTTTACTTACATAAATTTAGAATTTTTTAGTCATTCACATTCCATTTCTTGCCTTTTTCAGAAATATCCCCCACCCTAATTTTTACATATTATTGCATTATTTATTCTAAAGCATTTTTTTTACTTCATCTCAGGAACTACCATTTAAGCTTCAAAAGATCCAGTTCAAATATAACTCTGTGGTGGATGTATCTAAACCAGTGCCTGCATGTAGCCCTAAAATGCAATATATCTACTATAGAGCCCTTATCCTAAACTGCGAACTTGGAGTGCAGGATCTGCCCCTATTTATTCTAATATTTTCACAAGCCATCATCTCTCCTGACACACTGCAGATAAGCAATCATGTTTGTTGCATGATGCTTCTTCTTTCTCCCAGGAAGAGTATTTCATAAAATCTCTAGATAGTTGAGTAGAAACCTAAGTAATTAAATTTGGGTTATTTCTGTAGATGTTATAATTAGAAGAGCGAATGGTTTTGTTGGTTATGATTTCCTTCCACAGAAGGATATTCTTGGTCAGCAGAAATATCCTAGTAGCCAACCATTCAGTCATCTCTTGGGCCATGGAGGAGACATTGTAGTGAGGGTACATGAGGCGTTCTACATCAGACAGCACACTGCTAAGCACCCGAATTCCAGAAATTGCATGTGGAACAGCAGAGCAGTCTGATCTACAGAGCTGGAATTTTAAGAACATAAAACTGATTTCTTGGCTCAGAAATTCATTTGCAATTACTGATCACAAGAAAGCTACTCTGGAAAATTTCATTTGCTTAAGAAGATGTAACTGAGAACATGAAAAGTACCCATGAATCTTTGTGAGGAGACATACACTCTTTACTTGAAATAATTTTTTTTTGTTCTGTTGACTACAAGAAAGCAAATCTACAGAACTATTTGCCCAAATTTACAAATTATAAACACCATTTACAGTACCTTTAACAAATAACACAGCAAAAGGAACATCAAGGGCAGGATGATGTTGGAGAGGAATGAACCATTGGATAGAACAATTGAGCTGTGGCTCTAGGTCCTGGGAGAGAGGGTTAGGGTACCCTCTGGGTACTCTACTCAACTTTTATTTTCTTTTTTATCCCCCTGCATACAATTCAAATTAAATTTCACAATAAAAGGTTTCAACAGGGTGACATCCTACCAAGCCCAGTTATCTCAGCAGCCACACTAGTTGAATTAAACCTATCCTCTTATCCCTCTAAAACTGACCCCTTCATGGCTGTCATTCACTCCTTTAGGTCCTATGCAATATCAAGTACAAACTACTACATCTACCTGAGGGTGCTCATTTTTCCTAACACATCAATCTCAGCATGACAAAGTAGAATGAAGAATGCTCCGACTTAGTTTTAAGCCAAAAATAAGCCCCTGACTTAGCTATCATGAACACAAACAAAAATTGAAAAAATCACAAGTATATGTTAACCCAACTCTCTGGGAAAATTAAACAGAATATTTTAAACAGGGAGCTTTTTTTTTTCTTTTTTGAGAGACAGACTTAGAGGGGCTGGAGTACAGTGGTGTGATCTCGGCTCACTGCAACCTCCGCCTTCTGGGTTCAAGTGACTCTCCTGCCTCAGTCTCCCAAGTAGCTAGGATTGCAGGCACCTGCCACCACACTCAGTTAATTTTTTATATTTTTAGTAGAGATGCAGTTTTACTATGTTGGCCAAGCTGGTCTTGAACTCTTGATCTTGTGATCTGTCTGACTTAGCCTTCCAGACTGCTGGGATTACAGGTGTGAGCCATCATGCCAGGCGGGAATTATGTCATTTTCTATGAGGTTTTCAAGGCCTTGGGTTCTGTACTCTTTTCTTATCTCTCTTTCTAATGGATTTAAAGGCCATTTAACTGTTTACATTGTTTTATAACTCAAAATACCCATTTCACTTTGGCTATAGTATAGTTAAGAAGTCTCACTTATATAAGAATCCCAATTGAAATCCTTGATTTTCTCCCTTCCACTCCAGCAGCCTCCCTCATTTCCTGTGTTGCCATCATCCACACAGTGCCTCATGGCACATATGCATCCCATTCATATGGCTTCATCTTCACTATCAACATGTCTCTAAACCAGAGGTTCTCAAAGTGCCATCAATATTGCCCAAGGACTTCTGACAAAAGCAAATACTGAGGCTTCCTGCACCTCTATTTCTTCTAAATCAGCTTCTTTGAAAGTAGGGCTCAGTAATATGTGCTGTTACAAGCCCTCCAGAGGGCTCTGATGCACACTGCAGTTTGACAACCACCTCACTTAGCCACCCTATTCTAGCTAGACACCTGCAACAGACTCATAATTGGTCTTTCTGCTGCTACTTTTACCCCTCCATTACCTTCCCAGCAAATGCAGTAATTTTATTCCCAAATTTGATGCAGCTACTCCCTCTCTTCCTTGCTTAGTATTTCTTAGTGGCCTTTAAATGCACTCAGAATAAATTTTTAAAAATGTATCATGACATACAAAGTGCTGCATGAATATGATTCTTAACTATTGCTCTAACATCTCCTCTTACCCTTCCTCTCATCTCCCTTGCTGATTAATCCATTGCCACAACAGCCATCTGACCTGTTGGTCATTCTACTTTTCACATTGCTGGCTTCCCTTGTAGAAGGTCCTTCCTTTCCTACCTCCATTATCCTCTCTACCACCTTCTTAATTATCACACTTCAGAATTTCGTATCTGTTTACTGAGTACCATGTAGCTCTATCCAAGATGCTGAATTGTGCAAGAATAGGGACCACATTTGTGTCATCTCCATTATGTACCTACGCATCGACTCTCACAATTATTATAACATGATAGGTATATAAAAACAAAACAACAAAACCTTGTCGAATGGCTAATCCAATGCAATCCTTATAAAGGATAAAATACAAACCAAACTGATAAAAAACAAAATCAATCCCAGTACTTTAGGAAGCTGAGGCAGGGGGATCACAAGGTCAAGAGATTGAGACCCTCCTGGCCAACATGGTGAAACCCCGTATCTACTAAAAATACAAAAATTATCTGGACGTGGTGGTGCACACCTGTAATCCCAGCTACCTGGGAGGCTGAGGTAGGAGAATCGCTTGAACCCAGGAGGCAGAGGTTGCAGTGAGCTGGAATTGTGCCACTGCACTCTAGCCTGGAGACAAAGCAAGACTCTGTCTCAAAATAATAAAAATAAAATAAATTAAGTTAGCGTTAATGTTGGTTCTTAAAAATAGTGTGCTTAAGAACTCCCACGTAAGATCCGATCTGAAGTTGGTGAAAGCTACTTGGAAACTTTTATGGATATTGGACAAGTTATATGTGCCAGAAATTTAACAGTAGTGCAGGGTTTATGCTGGAAAAGATTAATGAACCTATTTAATCCAATTGATCTTACAGTAAGCCCTGAACACTTCACCTATGTACCGTAGTCTTTAACTCTCTACCTTTAGTTTTGGCTGACTTATCTTATAGGACAGGGCAGCACCCAATAGAAACACACTTTTGGTGTCATCCAGGTTATACTGCTTTGATTCTGCTTTTTATTACTAACCCTTGAGTTTACCTTTTAGGTTTCTGTTTTGTTTTTATTTTCTCTTTTTACATGCAAGTTTAGCATGCCTTAGATTAAGAATAATCTTAACTTCTTTTTTGATCTTGGCCATTTGAATTTATATAAGTCATGGATGGTACCTGTTGATTCCAACCATTCCTGAATGCCAGAGCATAATTCTTTTGACCCAATTTTAGTGCCAGTTCACATGTATGGTGCACCTCACAATGGGGAGAACTTGATAGGTGCAAGCAGATCTATGCTAAGGCTATGTGCAGATGACGTAATTGGCCTGTAGTGGCTTCACCCCTCCCTATATGAACAACTGTTTCTTCTTAGAAACCCCAACATAACCTTCCACTTTCCAAGAAGTGGATTTGCTTTCTACACCCAAGAAACCTTGTTCTCAATAATTCCAAAAGTGTCTCCTAAGATATAGGACACCTATAATAAAGGATAATGACATAATTTATTGCTTTACAAAAGACATTAAAGAAATTGTCTAGGACAGAGACTGTGATGGTTAATCTTATGTTCTACTTGACTGGACCATGGACTGCCCTGAGAGTTCGTCAAATATTCTGGGTGTGTCTGTGAAGTTTCTGGATTAGATGAACATTTGAATCAGCAGGTGAGTAAAGCAAATTACCCTCCTCAGTATGAGTCTTACCCAATTATTTCAAGGCCTGAATAGAACAAAAAGGCTAAGAGAGAAATTTCTGATTGTTTTGAAGCTGGGATACTGGATGATGGATTTGATATAATCTTGTAAAAGGAAGTGGCTGCTTATGTAAGGTCACATTTTACAGAAAGTGGGAGAGGTTACAGAAATGCCTACCACTGCAATTACTTAGATTATCTAATTATAAATATCACATAAAGTGATACACTAAAATGTCTGAAAAAATAATAAATATCACTACCACCAAATAAAGAAGGAAAAGGAAGGAGGAAACAGTAGGGAGGCAGAATAAATAAAAAGTATAATCAAGAGAAGGATCTTGTGAAATTGTTAGGTGGTAACCATTTCACCTAATCCATTTGCTAAGTAATCCTAGTCTCAGATGAAATGAGATAATTCGCACAGGTGATGACTATAATGCACAAAATTCAATACACATTTTCCATCATCATCATCACCATCACTATTATTGGACATCAGTTTCTGCTGATGCCCACAGCAAATTGCATGCTCTCTTGTATATACATATAAACATTAACAGGAAACATTTGTTTAACTGATCAAGTTAAAAGTCTGTTCATTCGTCTCAACAAGGGAAGAAAGGAAGCAAGCAGAACTCACGTTGAGCTGAAGTTCGTCTGTCCACTGCCCGATCAGACGGTAACCAGGGTTGCTGGTGTTTGTGGTCTGGTACTGAAAGATGTCATAACGCCCAGGTGCATCCCCGTTCTTGTTAAACATCACTGGAGTGCCAGCACTACCTAAGGAAGACAGAAAAAATGAAAGATTCTAAAGTTAAACAATATTCCTTATATATTTTGTACTATGAGTGACAGGCTGGAGACTTGCTGAGGAGAAAGGTAGTTAGTAGATATCCCCTTTAATAGAGTCCCCCAAATGGCCCCTGGAATTCACAGGCAAGTTATCACTATGTTCTGTGGATTTTAATTATAGAAGGTGGAAGACTACTTTCCCTTTTGAATAGTTTTACTGTTTCTCAATATTTTTAAAAATTTTATGCTAATCTTTTCCCCTCCTGACAAATAAAAACCATATGCATTATTTTTAAGAGACAGCCTTAAGTTTTATTATGGTGCTGCTGCTGCTAATTCTAACTATTATTTTAGTTTCTGTCTACCACTAAATAGTGGTCAGTAAAGAACAATTTCAAATATAACAAAGTAATATTAAGAGAAATGCAATTTAGAAAACAAGAAGTAAAAAAGAAAAAATATATTTAAATGTACTTTTCTACTCATTGCATTTAAAATATCTTTTCTGGCTATTTCTAATTTACTTTATATGATAAACAGGGTAAAATGTTTAGCAGTGCATTTGGCAGGTGTTCAAATAAATATTGGTTTCTTTCTCAGTCTCTCATTTGGATCTTCTTAAAATGTCTATCTTACAACCAATTATTTTGGCAGAATTGGACTTTGGAGTTAAGTTTAAAGAGCCAATGTATTTATTGAGAGAGAGAGAGAGAGAGAGAGAGAGAGAGAGAGAGAGAGAGAGAGAGAGTGAGTGTGTGTGTGTGTGTGTGTGTGTGTGTACATATATATCTGCCCATCCTCAATATATAGTGTATATGGTTGGATGAGTAAAGAACCCTTAACCACATACAACAACTGGAGAACTATACACAAGTAATGCAAGACATGAGTTTTGGTTAGTTTCAGCAACAGTCACAAAAGAATCACAAAACATCAGCAACTGAGTGCTATTTCTTTCATGATCCTCTGGAACTGGGAAAAAAACACCACTGGCCACATGATATATGACTGCTCTCTGTCTATAGCCTAATAGTGGACCAATATTCCTACCAGAAAACAATGCTCTATTTCCTGCCATTTACAAATTGAAAAGGTCCTTTGGCCACACACAGATTCAGCCATTGACTCAAACTAGTGGGACCAAAACAATGTTGCTCTGAGATGATCAGGTCCACTCCCACAGTGAGCCTTAAAAAAAAGAAAAATTTTTAGTGACAGAGAAATTGAAATTACATATGAGTTAGAAGAGGGCAACTTTGGTGCCTTGAAAAATACATCTGTCTGGGTAGCTGAAAGCACTGCTATATCTGGTTTTGAGGTATAAGCAAGTAAAGGAATTATAAAAATAAAAATTATAAAAATCATTACTGTCTATTAAACACGTATTTTAGCAACATTCTTGTGTTGATTGTTTCTGTGGGGACATTCTCAATATCTTGTCTGCTTCCTCAAGGTTTGGTATCTTTGTTGTTGCTGTTTTTACATCTTTTTTATTTTTTAAAAAAAGCTTTTTGGCTTTTAACTTTTTTTAAAAAAATTGTACAGTTCTGGAGTACATGTGCAGATCATGCAGGATTGTTGCATAGGTACATACATGGCAATGTGGTTTGCTGCCTCCATCCCGCCATCACCTACATCTGGCATTTCTCCCCATCTTATCCCTCCCCAACCTCCCCACCCCCACCGCTGTCCCTCCCTTGGGCTACGCCCAACAGACCCCAGTGTGTGATGCTCCCCTCCCTGTGTCCATGTGTTCTCATTGTTCAACCACCACCGATGAGTGACAATATGCAGTGTTTGATTTTCTGTTCCTGTGTCACTTTGCTGAGAATGATGGTTTCCAGATTCATCTATGTCCCTACAAAGGACACGAACTCATCATTTTTTATGGCTGCATAGTATTCCATGGTGTATATGTGCCACATTTTTCTTGTCCAGTCTATCATTGATGGGCATGTGGGTTGGTTCCAGGTCTTCGCTATTGCAAACAGTGCTGCTATGAACATGTGTGCATGTATCTTTATAATAGAATAATTTATAATCCTTTGGGTATATACCCAGTAGTGGGATTGCTGGGTCAAATGGAATTCCAACAAATATATGAAAAATGCTCATCATCACTGATTATTAGAGAAATGAAAATCAAAACTACATTGAGATTTCACCTCACGCCAGTTAGAATGTCAATCATTAAAAAATCTGGAGACAACACATGCTGGAGAGGATGTGGAGAAATAGGAACACTTTTACACTGTTGGTGGGAGTGTAAACTAGTTCAACCATTGTGGAAGACAGTGTGGTGCTTCTTCAAAGACCTAGAAATTGTTTTTACTATTTTAAGCATACTTTTCCCTGTCTGGTTAAGATGCTGTCATAACTTTCATTGACATGAATATTGCCTTAGTATCCATCTCATCCTGTCTCTGTCTTGTTACCCTTGACCTACATATTTGAAGGCAGTCTTCACCCATCTCCTGCTTTTGTGTTCTACACAAACACGGCACTATAATCTGAATCACTTGAGAGCCTTACTCTGCTCCTGGAAGTCCCAAGAATGGGCTTACTGGGTTTCCACACTTATACTCACACACTCTTCAAGTTAATACATCCAGCTCTGTCACAGGAAACATAACTAGGTAATGCCCTGATATGGTTTGGCTGTGTCCCCACTCAAATTTCATCTTGATTGTAGCTCCCATAATTCCCATGTGTTGTGGGAGGGACCCAGTGGGACATAATTGAACCATGGGGGTGGTTTCTCCATACCGTGCTTGTGATAGTGAGTAAGTCTCAACAGATCTGATGGTTTTAAAGGGGGTTTCCCCTTTTGCTTGGCTATCATTCTCTCTTGCATGACACTATGTAAGATGTGCCTTTTCTTTTCCACCATGATTGGGAGGCTTCCCTAGCCACATGGAATTGTGAGTCCATTAAACCTCTTTTTATTTTTTTAAATAAATTACCCAGTATTGTGCATGCCTTTATCAGCAGTGTGAAAATGGGTTAATGCATGCCCTGAACCCCAATGAGGGCTTTGGCATACCAGCTCCTTCTGCCCTCTCTGCCCCCAATCTGCTTATACCTAACTGGTATCTAATTCTAATTTCTCCAACACTATAAATATTTTTTTTATTTTTCAAACAGCAAGCTGGAGCTCTGGGAGTGAACACTGATCTTCTGTGAGCTACAGTGCTTTGGTCTCACCAATTTGAGTCAATGGCTGAATCTGTGTGTGGTCAAAGCACCATTTCAATTTTTGTTTCTGTCTTTTACCTAGACGCTATCCCCATAGAGCACAAAGACACCTGCTTCATCATAATAGGAATCTCTTAAGCCTGCTGTATTTAAGAATCGACACAAGTCTTTCCAGTATAGGGAGAAAATAATAACAAAAACATCAATAACAACAAAATACTTTTAATATTGGCTTTCTGCTTTCAATAAGCCTTTTGAGTATATAGGAAGAAAAAGTGAAATTGGGATTTCACATGTTATTAGCAAAGAAATGAGAATCCTGTCAGTTTGCACAAAGACATTATTATTCAGATACTCACCTTTTTCTTTCACATTGGATACTAGGATTCATGTTGGGCTTTGCTGTAATTCTACAGCTACTATTCATTAAACAATATGATTTGAGCTTTTCATAGTCTTTGAGAGGAGAGAAGAAGAATATTGGAGGCCTGGGGATCCGGAGGAACTCAAGTGTACCAGCTACCTATTCATCAGAATGGGCCCCATCACCTAATCTTTCTCCCTTTTTGCAATCTTTGTTAGAAGAAATGTTTCTTATCATACCCTTTCCATTCTCATTAAAGTTCAGGTTTAAAAAAAATTAAGGCAGAAGGGCTGAACACTTTATCTAACTGATGACTTGTAATAGCACATTGTGTGGCTCTGACCTTTTTGATGGATTATCTAATGCAGCTGGCTTATTATTTCCAGTTTTTTAAATCCCCGTATCTCCCTTTTAACAGCATCCATGAACTTCTTAAAAAAGAACAAGAACCATTGTGTTCAATGAACTCTATTTTTAAAAAGTTCAGAGGACATAAAGAATTCACCAAATAGGAAGTGATTCCCCACAGAGATGTCCATAAGGCGTTGGAGCAAAAATGCTGGCAAGCTAGGGCAAAAGTAATAGGGCCACCTGACAAGATAGGTAACAACAGACAGTAAAGGACAAATAACAGAGTGTACTGAAGACTGAAATCTCCCCTACTGGATGAGAGTATCTGAATGACATTTCTTTCCTCCCAGAGAGAGAAGGAATATGGATTCAGATAGCCCAGATAATGAAACAGTCTTTTGCATCAACGTATTTACCTGACACATTTTCTGTTCTCATTTTATTATGCCATGCACGGATTCCAGGGATGTTGGATTTATTCGGGCTTCTGTTATATCTTTCTGACCAGGAAACCAGCCTGAATATTAGTACTCAAAACAACATTTATTTTGTAACTTGGTCAGAGCTCTGCAGGGACAGCAGCTCTCTGGTCCACTCATGTCAGCTGGGGCTGACAGTTGATATTGGCTAAGAGGTGGGACCTCGGCTGGGGCTGTAGCCAGAACATGTGGCTACATGTGGCCTGTCAGTGTGGCATCTAGGTTTCTTCCCAGCATGGTAGCCATGCCCATATTTCAAATGTTCCAATAAAACCAGACAGAAATATTTTGCCTTAGAAGTCACGGTGCTACTTCCAAATTAGTCACAGCCTCACTCAAAGGGCGGAAAAATAGATCTCACCTCTTGATGAAGGAAGGTTAACATCATATTGCAAAAAGAGAATCTGATATCTGCCATCTCTACAAAATATAGCCTGCTCCAGTTTTTTTTCTAGAAACTAGTAAATCGAAGTACAGAGATGCTTCAGATTAAATCCTTCATTCTACAGCAATTCTTTCAGATTTTATATCCAAGACATCAAATTTATTACATTTACATTTGTAAGTATTGCCATCTGTTTGGATGGGCCAAATAAAGA